GTGACAGCCAAAAGCCTTTTATCTCCAAAGAAAATTTTCACAGATCAAACAAGACAAGCAAAGATGATTGTCATTCTTTTCATACAAGAATCTCCTTGTAAATTGCACACAAATGAATTTTTCTTTGTATTTCAAGCCAAAAGAAACACCACAAAAGAATTGGATAGAAAAATGTTTCCACCAGCCCAATAGAGATTAGAACAAAAAACACATCAATGTAAAAAGTGGACAATAGTTTTGAAACTTAATAAGAATTTACACCTTGTTGTTCTGATGTACTCCATCAATACATCTGCCTAATTAGCCAAAAAAGCTAAAAGAAACACAGAAAAAGAAAGGTATATAAAGAACCTAAGTAAGAGAGAGGGAGGAAAGATGCATAAGGCCATAAGAAATATTGTGTGCAGGGTGAATAACCACCGTCAATTCTGGGAGTCCTTCTGTATGGACTACAGATTTTTTTCTGATACAGGAAAAATTAACCAGTAACAGAATCTGCCATTAGAGGAGCTAGAGAGAAGGCAATTCAATGGTCTGATTCTCCCAGGAACACGGCATTGCAATCGCTATATTTCAGTTACTCCATACACATGAGTGCAACTAAGCGAGGATTAAGCCAACAGAGCAGCTAAGGTGAAACCAAAGACAATCAGTACATGATTTTCCGAGCAATAAAAAATCCAAAGAAATTAAACATCAAAATAATTAGAGTATAACCATTTGCACTTTGTAAGACTTAAAAACCTGAATGAGAATAGTAATAGTCGGAGTCAGAGACTCTTTCCGACCAGAATCTTTGTTTCCAGCAAATATTTAGCCATATATTAATGCAAAACAGGCTTGCCCGGGAAAACTTTCTAGCTTTACAGCTCTAATAAAACACAACGATAATAATCAATAAACAGAAAGAAAAAGTCCCAGCATTTCTTACTTTCCTGTACTTTCTGACCAATCAAACAGAATCAACCACATACACCCGCCCCCCAACCCATCTTGATTTGATTTTTACTCTAACAAGAACGATCTTCATTTGTTCAAACTCATTGAATAGAAAGAAGAAGAAACACGAAATTAGAACTTCAAATGAAACCAAATAGTACTTACGTCAAACTAACCCCCATCCAATTTTTCACAATAAAAAACAAAACAAGGAAACAAACAAGAAAAAACAATCAAATCAGATTAAAACCCTCCACTTAATAAAAAGAAAAAGAAAAACAAGAAGGGATCTGAGCCAAACCCAAAATATACATAGATCTCAAAATGAATATAAACGAACAAGAGAGAGAGAGAGAGAGAGAGAGAGAAAACCTTCTTGTGAGGATCCATGGAGACACCAAGGAAGTAACTGCGTTTTGGGACTCGAATGCACTTCAAGCCAGACAAATCAAAGTCGTCAACGAGGTTGAGCTCCTCTTCTCTTGCTTCTTCCTCCTGTTGCCTGTCGTAAATAGTAGTCAATTGTGCCCGCAATTCGCTCACAGATACGTGGCCACAATTAACATTATCGTGATTATTATTATTATGGTTAATACTATTATTGTTGCTGTTGTGGTGGCTATTAACACAAGCAGTCGAAAAAGAAGAGGAAGAAGAAGAAGAAGAAGAAGAAGACGACGACGGGTTATTCCTATTGTTGTGATTATTTGAAGGATTGGTGGAAGACAGACGTTGAAACAAGCGACGAACACCGTCCACGAGAGTTCCACTTCCACCCATCACACAGCAGTCACTAATTCGCGGCCAACCAATTTATGCATTTGCCCGCTTCTCTCTGATTCTCCGCGGTATTTTCCCTCTTTCTCTCCCTCTCTCTCTCTTCACCTTTTTTCAGCGTATTGTCCGATGCCCGCGGAGCTGAGACGAAGAGAGACAGAGAGATGATCGCGTGATATAACGCGACTGAACAAGCATCATGTTTCTTATTTTTTCCGTTTTTCTTTTTCCTTTTTCTATTTTAAAAAATATGGCTTCTCCCTTTTTTCTTTTTAATAAAACGGTTCATATCAAACTTCTGGTTATTTCAAGTTGCAGTATTTTGTCACACCAAAAATTAAATTATTTAATATTTAATAAAAAATATAAATTATATATTTAATAAAAATAATTTTTAAAATTTTAAATATATGTTTTTAATAAAAATTAAAAAAATTTAAGTTATAACTTAATAAATAATGTAACTCGTTTTTTATTCATTAAAATCAAATAAAACTAATTTTATGCAAATAAAATTCCAAATAATATTTATATTAATAAAATTTAATTTTATATTTAATAAATTAATTATAATTAAATATTATTTTAAACTATCTTATTTTGTTAAACTATTAATCTATCTGTTTTTTAATCATTCATCTAAATATCTATTTAATTATTACGGTTGTTATTAAGATATTACAATTTTATTAATTATTTTTTGTTGTTAAATATTTTAATTATAAAATATGATAAATGAGATATGTATTTAAAAAATATAAAAATTTCAATCCGTTGAACATTTTTTATTCTTAGTAATTTGAACTAATTATTTTAAATAGTACCCAAAAGAGCAAAATTTAAAATGCATTGAATTAATTATAACATTGTAAAATATCCAAGTATAGCTTAAAATTAAATCGTCCTAATCTAATAAAAATGGTCCATAAGACACGCACGTATTTAGATATATGACTAAATATATTTATTTGGAAAAAGATTATGAAATTTGGCATATTTATATATTTGGTATTCCCAAATAAAGCATTTTCTTTTTGGTAATGTAATCAATATAAGAAAAGAAAAGTCATAACTTTTTGGTAATCGTGTTTTTTTTTTAATAAATGTAAAAAGATTATATTAAATTTTTTAATGTTATGATTATCTTAATTAAATAAATATAATCAAATATAAAATATTTACATTATGATTCTTCATGTTCTAACCCCTGAAAGAAAATATCATAATTTATAATTATTTTCTTCAAATCAATAATTAGTGCTTTAAATTATTAGTCTTTATAAAACTATTTAAAAAAAAAAAATCACGGAAAACGAAATTTCCAAGGTAATGGCGTCATTTATTTTATTAATTAATAACGGCGTTAGACTAACGCTCCAGAAAAAGAGGTGTGTGTGTCCAAGTAATGCCAGCAGTTTGTAGACTGTTATTGACGGGGATAGCTTGATACACGTCTCCATCGTGATGACAGTGTCAAATGATAATTAAAATCCTTGTTTGGGCGCATGATAATCAAACTATATATATCCTTGTGCCGGTTATCAATTTAGCTTCATAATTAATCAACCAATTCAATAATTAATGTTTTTAAAAAAAATAAGATAAGCATGTAATTATTTAAATTTGTATATTATTATTATTATTTTAAAATAGTAATTAAGCTTTTCTGCACTTTATTTTAATATCACAAGGAATGGCATAATCATGTAGGCGAGAAGAAAGTAATAATTGTAAGAGAGGATTAAGCTTTTGATTTTTTAGGTTAGGTCGTAATTTTTTGGGATTACACCTTAATTTAAATGTTAGTCAAAGTAATAAATTTGTCTATTTAATAAATATGTTATTTTTTTTTTACTATATATAATTACCGATATAATAATTTTAACTAACATCTCTAAGAGTTTGACCAAAAAAATCAAAATATTTTTAATAAATTTTTTTTTGAAAATTTGAAGTTTATCCATAATTTTAGGAAGGTAAATTATGTATTAACATTTTGTTGTGGTGGACTTAGGCCAGACATGTTTTATGACAGAGAGAG